AACTTCCTAATGGGTCACCCATCATGGGATTGCTCTCGCGCACTACTCGCTTAACTTTGGAGTTCCGATTAACTCCAAAGCCAGTGTGCTCCTAAAAAGCCTCGTGCTAGGTAGAGATGAGAATATACATATAAGGCTTACAGGATCCACTCCCTTGGGCGATGTGGGATGTTACAATCCACTCCCCTTAGGGGCTCGACATCCTCATCGGCACACTTCCAGCCAGGGATTGGCTCTCATACCAAATTGTCACATCCCAGCCTGGGTCATCACCATATCCCGGGCTCGACTCCACTGTAGCATGATATTGTCCGCTTTGGGCCTTGACTACGCCCTTACGGTTTTGTTTCTGGAAACTCACACGAAAACTTCCGAGTGGGTCACCCATCTTGGGAATGCTTTCGCCCGAACTTGCTTAACTTCGGAGTTCCGATGGCACCCGAAGCCAGTGAGCTCCCAAAATGCCTCATGCTAGGTAGGGATGAGAATATACATATAAGGATCACTCCCCTAGGCGATGTGGGATCTTACAATCCACCCCCCTTAGGGGTCTGACGTCCTCATCAGTACACTTTCGGCCAGGGATTGGCTCTGATACCAAATTGTCATATCTCGACCCGGGGTCCACCACATCTCGAGCCCGTTCCACCACCGTAGCACGATATTGTCTGCTTTGGGCCCTGACCACGCCCTCACGATTTTGTTTCTGGGAACTCACACGAGAACTTCCCAATGGATCACCCATAATGGGATTGCTCTCGTGCGCTACTCGCTTAACTTTGGAGTTCCGATGAACTCCAAAGCCAGTGAGCTCCCAAAAGGCCTCGTGTTAGGTAGAGATGAGAATATACATATAAGGCTTACAAGATCCACTCCCCTGGGCGATGTGGAATATTACAAAAAACATGTACGTATAATACGATAACGTCAAAATATATATATGTATTAACATAGTGGTTGAAAACTCGTACTGGAATCAAAACCGAAAATGGAAGTGGGTCTTACCCAAGCATTCGTAACGTCACGTACTCCAAGAACAGATGTGTCTTTGGATCAAGCCTCAACAATTACTAAACAGTAACAACTATCGTAGTCTGGTCTACTTGTTGACTTGCTTAACGAACCCAACGAATATGTCATTGATATTACAGTCGACTGCCCGAGATATCGATAACACTTTGTAGTGTCGATAAGCAAGTAGTAATTTCCTAAGGGTGTAAACATACCAATTTGTCCAATCCCAAGTCAACAACAACACAAACACATAGTTTCTCAAATCATAAAATCAAACATCTGAAACCAATTCGCAAAACTCTATTGTCTAACCAGTGCTGCTAATAGAATCTAACATACCAAGTATCAAATAGTACCATCCACAAACTAAAAATAAAACTATTGTCGCAACTACTCCAAGAGATCGGTAAAAAATCTAATCATTCCGAAACCATAAACCAAATGAACGCAACATGTCTTTCAAGATCTAGATATTTCGTTCAAGATTGTCCAACAGTCTGCAAATAAAAATGTGATATAGGATAATAATTTAGTACTCAAGGTCTTTACGCAAACTTCACAAAACTCATAAGTGGAACGAGAATCACGATGAGGTACAAAAGTGACGATACACCGAGATCCAGAACAATGTAATTCACAACGTCTAAGCAAGTTGATTCATTGAGAAATTTCTCTTGGATTTAGTGAATAGCTATGCCGAGAACGCTAAGTGAACACCCACAAATTTAAGAGTCAAAACAAGTCCAACAAAGCTAGGAAAGAAGATAATTAGAGTGAATGCGTAGCTTTGATGGAAGGATACGTGTAAGTACCTAACTCGATTATGTGGTGGTAAGTCGAGATGGTTGAGTATGGACTCGACTCGGTGGTAGTCTAAAGTAATCTGATTGACGGGAACTCAAATTTTTTTTCCCTATTCCAAAATTTCACAACTACTTGTTACAACGATAACTCAAGGATATTCACACACCAGTGGTAATGATTCACTCGATAAGATATTAATGGGTGATTGAATGACTGGTGGTTTCGGATAAAACTTTCGAATCTAAATGGTTCTCCTGAATAGTCTCTCTACTATAGAAAAGATACGAAGTGAAATGATATGAAGTGTTATAGGGTAAACACGAACTCAAAGTTAACTACAATGCTTTCTAGGATTTGGAGGTGAATCTGGGATTACGATTGCAACCGATGTAAATTGAGACGTCAGTATAAAGAAATCTAGAGTGAAGAATTTTTCCAAACGATTGAAGTATAGTTCTCGCAAACTGGTAGGTAGTACGACGAGTGAGTTGATCAACAAATCCAAAACATCATCATAGTCTCCACGTGTACAAGATGGTTTGTACCGAAAATCTATGGTGACATTCATCTATTCCCATTCGCATCCTTAATGGGTCCCCAACAACCCAAGAAGGACAATCTTGGGAATTTCTGATTAAGAGCATCATTTACGGCAGTTGCCTGACCATGATGGTACTCAAAGTTGCAATCAACTCATCGATGAGTTCCATCCACTTCATTTGTCTCTGACTCAACTATTTCTGTGTACAAACACACTACAACTTCTTTGGTAAAAAAGGATGTACCATTTCTCGTTGTAGAGAAAACATCACCAGATTTTATAGCAAGGAAGGTCATTATCAGTTCTAGGTCAAGGATAAAATGGTTCACATCATGCAGTTCCAATCGTCAACACGCGTGACTCGATACTTAGTTGTCAAAAAATTCGTTCATCGTCAGCATTGCAACAAGATTGACTGGTTGCTTAGCTTAAAAAGCTCAAAGAATAGTTAAAAACTGCTAATAGGATTTGACATGGCCAAAGACATTTCGTATTTCTCAACACCATGTGAGGATTTTTAATTTCCAACGGTCGTAACCCCTTTTCAGAAATTGATAAGAATAACGTCTACGACCAAAGAATCTCCCAAGAAAAGTATCTACACTAAAATACAAACAACGCTTGAAGAATTTGACGTACAGCTGACTATCGATGTTTAATGAACTTGACCTCATGGTTGGAGTAAGCAAGAAGGTTATCGATATAGTAGTCGCTGAGAATTGTTCTAAAGATCCACATGAATTTCCTTAGTGGGAACAAGTCAGAGGACATTGATTCAATCCCACTAACTAACACTTACTAGACTTTGCAACGTCTAAAGCTTACTCGCCAAACTCCAACACGCACTTCGAATGTCTCGAACAATTTCCATATAAATATGATTCCACCTGCCACTCTTAGGGAACGCATGTCGCAGAGTGACATCACTGATTCAGATCTTCCCAATTTCAAACCACTTAGATTTTTCCGTTTCACTACACTCTTGTGTAGATACGACTCTGCCCGCCATTCCTAAGGAACGCATATTGCAGAGTGGCATTGCGATCTCTGATCTTCAACTGAGATTTCTAATTCACGTCACTTCAATGTAAAAACCGACTCTGCCCGCAATTCCTAAGGAATGCATGTTGCAGAGTATCGGTCCGATGTCGAAAGTCATCCAACAATTTGACATGTCATCGATGAGGCACAATCCCGACACGAAATTTCTTATTCTCCAATAGGATGTGACTATTCACTTAGAATGAAGGTTGCACAGCCATGCTAAATGACAACAAATCCGGAAGTTATGAAATCCAAATGATGTCATGATCAACACACTACTACCGTAAAAGAAGATCTTAAGTATGCTCTGAACAAACCACGCTCTGATACCAAATTGACACGCCTAACCCTGATATTCTCCAAACATCAGGGTAGGCAAGTGCTAGAAGACACCTGAAGGTGGCGAAGCCATATTATGATGCATGAGAACTAGAAACAATTAACCGACATAACTAAAACTTGCAAATTTAATTATAATGAATATGCATTTATGGAATGTGTTCAGAGCATACAACTAATCCGAGACACTAAAAATGAATAATATAAAATTGAATGAACAAAAGGATGGGTCCTATACCGAGAGGACTCGAAGATGCCGATGCGGGAGTGCCTTGATGTCGGGATTGTACGCCTCAATTCTAAGTCCTGAGGAGGCTTAAAACAAAACATGAGTGGACCAAGTTGTTATAGATAATACTAAAACAGTTATTCATTAACGTACTAACCCCCAAAGTTTATGAAGACTCAATAGTATAATATGTAATAGGTTTTTCGACCCATAAAACCTTCGTAAAACAAATATCATAGTGTGCTAAGTAGTGGTATCAGTATCACCTGAATATAGAACTCTTCATTCGCCCTAAGGTATATAGAACACATCATTTAGAACACTTCATTTAGAACACTTAATTTGTGATATCCCGTCCCCAGAATTTCACTATTCATTACGTATCTCGTAATTTAAATTCGTATTTCACGTTTACTTTATCTTTATTAGTTAATTTTAATTCCGTAAAGTTTGGGAATTAAATCGAATAGTTATCGGGTTTGAATTTTTGTAATTAATCTTTAAAATTTGTTGACCTTTCGAGCACAATTAATGTTTTCGAATAGATTTCAAAACCATGAACGCATAGGTGAAAGCCGTTTGCGAATCGAGATTATAACGGAAGAGTTATGGGTGTTCAGATTCGTGTTTTATTTTAAGTGAATTCTAACCTTGTGGGAGGGATGACTAATTAGACTAAGGGCAAGGAAGCCATGTGAGTGGCTGGGAAGAAAAAAAAAAGAAAAAAAAAAGCTGCCTAATGGCAGTGGGGAGAAAGAAAAAGAAAAGGGAGGTGCAGAGGGAAGAGGGAGGGCATTGGCTATCCAATCAGAGAAAAAGGGATGGATCAATCAAGAGAGGAATGAATGAGAGAAAGGAGAGGGGAGGAAATAGAGGGGATCCAACTAAAAACCCAGCAAAATCGGGCCACCATGACCCGTAGCCTGATCGGTGAGAATGATGTTTGCCGATGCCTTTTACGACATTTTCTCCAACAAATTGAAGCCACACATCACCTAGAATTACCCTAGCATCCTTTACCCCTCCAATTTCATCAAAAATCCTAGTTAATTGGGCCTTAATTCGTGATGAACTCCCCGACGGGTTCTTGAGGTGCATGGCGGTGATTTGCCATTCCCGAAGCCAACTCCATCAATTACCACCACCAATAGGCTCCCCTCAACCTTAGGAACAAAGCCCAAGCAGTGGTGGAGGCGTCGGAGCGAGTATGGAGATCGAATCGAAGCATACCCAATTCTAGGGTTCCGGCGGTTCGTGGGCGATTTCAGTTGTTTCCCAGACGAATTGGACTTTGGCCCAGGTATGAAATTTGTTCCCCTCATTGAGTTCTACTTGGCTGTAAAATTTGGTATTTTTGGAAATAGTTGATTTTTCCGACGAGTTGAGGTGGTCAGCCGCCGCATGTGGCGGCGCATGGGCCGAGACCCCACCTACCCTTTCTAGACTAATTTGGATACCTTGATTCCATATGTGATTTCTGATTGACGAAATTTCGTCATATGACTATAATTTTGATAGAGATCGCCACTTGGTCATTCTATGAATCGACGATCCGACCGTTGGATTGTCACCAAACTTTAATACATAATAGTACGTAATATTTAAGGACAATATGAACTTATGGATTGGGAATCCAATGTATGGATCTTCCTGAATTGGATTCGTACGTTTGTAAAAATCAAACGTTGACCGCCACTTGAATTTGCGATGAGCGGAGATCCAACCGTTGGATCGTTCCGAAATTTTAGAATATTGTTCTAGAAGATAAATGAGACCCTTAGGAAGTTACAGATTTGACATCCATGGGCGAATGTTTCAGATTGACTTGTATAGGGTTGTGGATTCCACCGTTGACAGAGACTTGACTATATGTTACGAATTGATCTTAAATATTAAAATTAGTATTACTAGAGGCTATGTATGGCTTAGTGGGCCTATATTGGCGAGTGAGTTATTCCATATAGTATATACATCGGTTTACTTGCATGGGATGTCATATTGTGTTATATATGTGTTTATTTATCGGGTAAATTACATTTTACCACCTTAGGTTTGAGATCTATTTCAACCTCATACAACATCTTCAAAATATTTCACTTTCATACCTCAAGTACTATTTTATTTCAATATAATACATCCGTTACATTTTCCATCCATTGTTCCATTAAGAGCTGACGTGACTGCCACATTTATGCCATGTGGCTACATCATTTGTGCCACATGGCTAAAAATTAAATTTTTATGCATTTAAAAACAATTAATTAAAAAAAATGCCCAGAACCTCATCCCTTCCCCTTCCCCTTCCCCGCAACCCCCCACCTCTCTCTTCGACAATCTCCAGCTTTTCGTCTTCAGCCTCCGCCTTCTTCCAATACCATCAGGACCACCACTACTATAATCAGCAGATCCACAACCACCACCACCACCACTAATCAGCGTCTGTCCGGCCTTCTCCTCTCCATCTCAGTCTGTCCGGTTCTCCATCGACCATCACTCGATCTCTCCCAACCATCATTCGAACTGATCCATCTTCATTTTAAAGATAACACGACCAATTTTGATGCTGAAAAAGACCTGTATGTGCTCGCCGACATCGCATCTGGGATCGTTTCGCTGCAGCCTCCATAAAAACCAGGGAGAGAGTTAAAACATCGGATTTTTCCCATCGAACAAGTTGAATATGCGTAAATTCACTAATTCACTATGATGAAATCATTGGTTCAAATCAGTGGAGTCGAAGGCGAGTGGGTGAAACGAGCCTTGACCGCCCTGATTCGGCCTTGTGCTCACCAGCAGCGACAGAGAGCTGGGTTTCAATTGAACTTCCATGGCGACCCGCTCTACTCGAAAATCGTCAAAGTGGTGGATGTGGTTCGGAGAACTCGGGGAGAAATCAGACCTCGGGGAACCAACTGGACTGCGGCGGCAGGTTTGGGCTGGGCCTTCTAGGCCAAGGAGTGGTGGCAGGAGGTAAGGTAGAAGGAGAGAAGGAAGAGAGTGATTGCCCAGATCATTTTTTCAATTTTTTTTTTTGCTGAGTTGGCATGACGTGGCAGATGGATATCCACGTGTGCAAGTTTTGGAGGGAGTGGGCTGACATGTAATGGGGTCTACTACTGCCACATTAGCTCTTAACTGACTAATTGATGGAAAATGTAACGGATGTATTATATTGAAATAAAATAGTAGATAAGGTATGAAGGTGAAATTTTTTGAAGATATTGTATGAGGTTGTAATAGACCTCAAACATGAGGTGGTAAACTGTAATTTACCCTTATTTATCTTCTTGACAATACGAAAGATATGTATGTTAACTGTTATGACATTGTGAGCCTAAAATCCTATTAGAAGTGTTATGTAGAACATATAGGCTTAAGTGACATAGTAGTTAGTGGTCATGAGAAGTTGATAGTTCAGGTTCCTACGTTGTAAATCATAGGGATTGAGGTAGGGGTAGATTGTGAGTTGAATTGATTACACCAGGTAGCAGTGGTACTTGGATGGTCCTGCTTGGTATATCCGCGATAGGGGACCATACGTATTCTAGGGGTGATCATACTTGGTATATCCGTGATGGGTGATCACCGCCTGCACGGTTAGACTATGCTTATGGTCCTGCTTGGTTTATCTACAATGGGGGACCATACGCATTCTAGGGGTGATCATGCTTAGTATATCCGCGATGGGTGATCACCGCCTGCATGGTTAGACTATGCTTATGGTCCTGCTTGGTTTATCCGTAATAGGGGACCATACACATTCTAGAGGTGATCATGCTTGGTTTACCCATGATAGGTGATCACTACCTAGAGTTAGGACGTGGTCCTGCTTGGTATATCCACGATAGGGGACCACACGTTAGACTATGCCTATGGTTCTGCTTGGTTTATCCGTAATAAAGGACCATACGCATTATAGGAATGATCATGCTTGGTATATCCGATAGGTGATCACTACCTAGAGATATAGGGTACAATCATGCTTTGTATATCCGCGATAGGGGATTGTTAGGAGTGATCATGCTTGGTATATCAGCGATGGGTGATCACTGCCAGCACGTTTAGATTATGCTTATGGTGGGGGGCCATATGCATACTAGGTGTGATGATGATTAGTTGTACTTGGTACATTTCGATAGGTGATCCTATTTTGGTTGGATTTTGTTGAGTGGTCCGAAATCTCTACTCTTGCTCATTTCCATAAGTTAGACTAGAACCCTGGATTTGAGTGAATGTGAATTACCCACAACAGACCTTGTGAATATAAATTAGAATTATCAGGTTATTACTTGGAATCCAGGTAGGGAATTATGTAGAATTCCTTTATTAAATTTTATGCACGGTTATGTGATCTATTTGATTAATTAACGTAATTAAATGTTAATATCGTGTCTCCTTGATTCATGGAATGGGTTACTTGAGGTGATTGTGGAAGATGTTGAATATGATTATTATTAATACGATTAGATCAGTGATCAATATGACTAGAGGACTCTACTATGTTTTGTTAATTCTTTGATATATTACATGCTATGAATTGCGATTTTATGTTGAAACATAATGATTTATATGATGGATGAAATAGAAACCTTGATTGTCATATGGGTTTGTTATGTAGCTTGAATCAAATAATTCATGTTTGTCAAGTCTAAATGTTTGATTGAGGAATGCTATGCCTTTCGGCTTGAACGGACTGTGATATATGTCGAGTTGTAGCGAATGACGAACTAAGAATGACTTGATCATTGTTTAGGGTACGTAGGCAATCTAACGAGGTTAGATGCAGCCATAAAGTATACAAAAAAATTACTATGTGATTTGATTCTCGAGTTATGCTTTGCCATACCCCGGAGGCAGGGTAAGTTAAAGATACGGGTATTTGGAGACGTTACATGTCGATCTTTGATGAACGTTGGAATCGGGGTGTGACATCATTTAGAACACTTCCTTCAGAACACTTCATTTAGAACACTTCATCCGGAACACTTCATTCACTCGAAGGTATATAGAACTCTTCCGACAGAAACCATATAAATATCTTTCGCCTGTAGGACCTACACACGCCTGTCCAAAGCCAATATAAATATCATTCGCCTGTAGGCCCAACACACGCCCGGTCGAAGCCAATATATAAATAACATCGCTCATAGGCAGAAGAGTGATCACTAGATAAGCACAAAAATCATTGAACATAATATTTCTAAACATAAGTACATATATCTCAACGGAGCTCAGTAGCTCAAACATCATATCTCAAAACATCTTAATAGTATATAGTCATCCATCATATATACTACAAAGAATGTAAAAATCGATAAGGTATGGTATTCCAAAGTATTTTCAGTAAAGCATGATATCTCATAAATTGTATTTCTAGTTTACTCAATAACATTTCATAAAATCTAGCCATTAAATCATGTTTTTCATGTATGCATTTCTAATAAAAAAAATATGCATTTTAGAAGAGGTCCACTCACCTTACACCGTTGGCGAAGAAAACAAGAGAGGACGAAAATGCCATAAACAATTGCACCTAAGTACATAAAGGTACCAATTAATACATCTCTATCATAACAATTGAATTTCGGGAAACAGACGTCATAAACGGATTTAGGACGTCGAAAAACATAAAGAGGGACCTTGGGTACCTCCACACTACTGCGCATGTGCCCTCACGCACTGCCTAGATGGGTCACTGGAAAAGTCGTTGTCACAGCCGCTGCCGCCGCCCTGGACAGCGGAGCACAGTGTCTTTGGCTGAGGCACATGTGCTCCACACGCCGGCATAGGCCTACCCTTAAGTGCGCCTACGCGCAGACCCATGTGCGGCCTGGAGTCTGGGATTCAACCAGGTTTAAGCCGGATCCAGGTCCTAGGTTGGGCTTGTTTACTGGGCTGGGTTCAGTGGGTTTTGGGCTTAAAGGGCTTTTGGGCTTGGGTTCCTTAGGCTGAAGGCCCAAGCTTGCATGGCCCAAATGCCTGGTTCTTTTTGGGTTTTTGAGCTTAGGGAATGGGCTGGGCTTAGCTGTTTTAAGCTTATAACCCAGCCCAATGGATTAGACCAAAGGACTTGGGTTTCTGGGTTTGGGTCAGTTCCAATTAGGTTTGGGCCGAGGGTTTTGGACCGCAAGGTTGGCCTGGGTTCAATGGGTTTGTTCTGGGTTTGGGCCTAAGACTTAACTTGGGTTTTAGGCTTGGCCTAGTGGGCTGGACTCAAGATTGGCTCGGGTAGCTTGACCCAACAATTAGGCCAGGTTAGTGTTTCCGAGTCGGGCCTAGCCCATTTCCAAGCCGAGTCGGCCAGTTTTAATGAGGGAGAAAGCCGGAGTTTGCTCAACCCCAACATGTGACTAACACCTATCATGCAACATACCAAATTGAAGCCCAAGGAACAAGGAAGACAATTGTACCTATTTCAAGACTTGTGGTGGCCGGTGTTGGCTGGAAAGTGGCCTGGAAGCCACGGGTATTTGTCGGAATCTGGGAAAGTCTCCCCAAGTAGTTTTCTGCGTCCAATGGCCACCAAAACAACTCAAAAACGTCCCAAACTCACATATAAATACTATCCAAAAGGTTTCAAGGGATTATCTACATCGAGGATGAAAGAAACTCACCGGAGTTCAACGAGAAAGGGAATAAACAGTGGTCTCCGCCATTGTGGTGCACTACAGACCTGTCCTGGGTTCGAGGTCTTGCCTAGGAGGATCCTAGGGTGGTAGTGGTTTGTGGTGTCGCCGTCGTTGTGGTCTTTCTGGGGTGTCTGTGGCTAAAAAAAAGAGGTGAATGAAGAGAGAGACTTGTGAAAGGGGGAGATGAGAAAGGGGTCCAAGAGTGTGTACACGGGGAAAGAAAAAGAAAGGAGAGGAAAGAAAAATGATTAGGTCGAGGGACAAAATCAAAGGGTGGGCCCTCTTGGGCACACCAACTAAGGCCATAAAATAATATTTCAAACAAATATCCCACAACCAAAATGAAATTACAACATTGCCCTTTCGTTCCTTAAATTCTGGGACGGGTCATTACAATGTAGACGTCTATGGCCATAGGACATAGTTGAGGATATCTATGTATATATTTCTTCTCTGGCGTAACCCAGAGTCATACAGCTTCACCTTCCGGTGATGGTACCTACCATGTTTCTTCACTAGCAAAACTCATTGTCGTACAACTTCATCTTCGGGTGATGGACAGGTACTGCCTTCGGGCGAATGAAGAGTGAGATATTTATGCCATACCCCCAACTTCACTGGCAAAACCAGTGTCAGACAGCTTCACTAGCCACGGCTAGTGTCGGTGTGTGATGTTATATGTTTCTTCTCTGGCGTAACCCAGAGTCGTACAGTTTCACCTTCAGGTGATGGGGCCTACCATGTTTCTTCACTAATGTAACCCAATGTCGTTTAGTTTCACCTTCAGGTGCTAGACAAATATTACCTTCGGGCGACTATGATATCCCTAAAGAGTACAGTATTGATGAGATTTATGGATTTGCCTTCGGGCGGCGATAGCAGCATTATTGAGCATTGTTTTACACGTACATGTTTTACGAATGTTTTCATGGCTTAGAGTTTTCAAAAAACTACTATGTAGTATTATTTATGTATGTTTTCAAAACAGGAGGTTAGTATGTTCATAAAGAAAATGGTTTCTTATTATTAGTATTATTATAAACTTTGGTCCACTCACATTTCTGTTTTGTGCCCTCTCAGGAGTTAGAATTGAGGCATTCGATCCCAACGTCAAACCATTTCCGCATAGGTATCTTCGAGCCCTTTAGGTGTAGAACCCACTTTCTTGGTAATCCCATTTATTTCATAATGATTCTTTTGCATTATTCTTGATTAGTTGTATGCTCTAAATACAGTTCTGCATTAGTATATTTCTTTTTAATCACATACTTTAATTTGCACGCATGTAAAAGTGGTTTCATCACCCTCGGGTGTCAGCCAACACGTGTCTATCCTGGTATTTGAGAATATCGGGATCGGGGCGTGTCAATTAAGTTGTCAAAAATTTTAAGCCTTAGGATCAAAACTAATACAATCTTATGGCTAGTATGCATTTGGTTCTCATGGGTCCTCAAAATCAAAACCTTAGAAGAGCATGACTCTTGTGAATAAAGACTAGATGCATATTAGCCACAAGATTGTATTAGTTTAGATTCAAAGACATAAAAACTTTTGACAACTTAATAAAGCAAAACAAAAAATTGACAAGTGATTATTTTCATTTTTCACTTTCATTGTGAATTGGCAAAATTGATCTAAAAAATTTGGATGTTGCACAAATCATAATCAAACGTAATAAAATTGTGAATAATTTTAATGTAAGGACTAGAGTCATGCTCTCCTAAGGTTTGGTTTTAAGGACTTGTGAGGACCAAATGCATTAAGCCACAAGATTGTATTCGTTTAGATCCAAAAGTTTAAAATTTTTGACAACTTAATTAATAAAGTAAAAAGTTACACTATGTTTGGATGAGGAAAATAAACTTAGAATTTGTATAAAAGTCAGAATTTATAAATTGACATGCACCAATTCCTTTGTTTGGATTCATAAACATAGAAATTTAGAATTTCCGCGTGGAAAAAAACTTGGAATTTGGGACCTCCAATTCCCAAGTTTAAATTCCATGTAAATAGGTGTCATTTCCCAATTTCTATGATTGAAAGTTTAAAAATAATAAATTACATATTCAATTCCATATTCTTTTAGGTTAATCAAACAAGAAAATTCACAAATTCTAGAAAATAAAATCTCGTCATTTCAATTACCGTCATTTTAAAATTCCTTAGTAATCTTAAATTTCTTCATCCAAACATAATGTAAATTATTTTTCTAATGGTTCATGAATTTTAAGTTCGTTTTGAATTATTAAACTGTCAAATATTTTAAATTTATGGTTCTAAACTAATACAATCTTATGACAATTATGTATTCAGTCATCACGGTCCACAAAATAAAGACTCTGGGAAAGTAGGACTGTAAGAACATTTCATGCACCAAATGGTCAATCATCTCGGTCAAATGGAATTCGTGAAAAATCATTTTGAGCTGAAGAAATTGCATGTTGGGCATCACTGAAAGATAGGGTTCTTTCTGTCGTTTATCCACTGCTCATCACAATCAGAGGGGGACCATATTTAACGTCTCCACCATACTGTACGGAAAGGGAATGGTTGGGGTGGCAGCTTTCAAGTGCTGCAGTACCAGCCACCCAACTCCAAAGGGGTTATTCATGAAGGTTTTTCAATTATATATAATAAGAACATTGGAATTACAGGTTAGTGTCGAGAAGCAATGTACTTGAATGGCTGGCCACTTTCTCGAATCTAGCTAGTGGATGGCCTTAGGCTGCATTATTCAGTTAGTATATTTTGCATGATATATCGTTTTGTATTAGATAACTATAGGGTGTTGCAGTAGAACTGAATTAGATCCTTTTTCGACTTGTAACTTCTCTTTACTGTCAATTCTCTACTGACACGAAAATAGGCGACCCAGCTCAATTTACTTCTTGCACCAAGTCTCCAAGATCTTCCCAAAATTTCTCCTTCGAACTCGTATCCAACCCTACTTGAGGTGCGTACGCACTAATCACATTGATAAGTTCTTGTCCTATTACAATCTTGATTGCCATGATTCTATCTCCTACCCTCTTGACATCTACAACATCTTGTACCAAGGTCTTGTCATATGATCTCTTCTTAGCCAACACCTTCTTTAAGAAGAGAGAAGAACATGTGATCACCTACAAGAGTGGGTCGTCAAAAACACAAATAGATTTTCTTCTAATAAGGAAAGGGGATCGTATAACTTGTAAGGATTGCAAAGTTATACCAGGAGAGAGCGTGGCTAATCAACATCGCTTGTTGGTGATGGATGTACATATCAAAAGAGTAAGACAAAAGAACAAGACTTGGAAGTGCCCAAGGACTAGATGGTGGAATCTAAAAGAAGAAAAACAAGCCATTTTCAAAGAGAAGGTAATCACCCAATGTGTGTGGGATAGAGAGGGGGAAGAAAGCTTCAACATACAAGCTTTAACAAAAGAAAATTCAAAGAACTTAGCGAAGAAGGCTTTGGTGTATTTAACACAATACGTTGAAATGAAGGAAAGCTTATTTATTGATATCCCCGATAAGCTACAAATATGTACATATACATGAGTCAAAATAAGCACACAAGAGGGAGCCTTCATAAAGGTTGCTTAGGAGAAGTCTCAGCAGTCGGTAGAGCCCCAGAAAGAGAAGGCACCGGAGGGGGATCATTTGGAGCCTCAGTACTGGACAGAACCCCTAGAAGGAGGAAGGCATCAGAGGTTGATCATTTGGAGCTTCATTACGCCGGTACAGCCCCAGAAGACGAAGGCAATAAATGCCTTTGGAACAAACCCACAAATCTCTGATGATCAAGTAAAACCTGACCATCAGTTTCCTTTCATCTGGTCAAGCTTCCTCTTCATGTTTGTAGCATAGTCATGTGCGAGCCGGTTCTGCAACTGTTTATTCTCATGCTTGAGCCCTCTAATCTCCTGTTTGAGACTCATCACTTCAGCCGCCAATGATTCAACTTGGCGGGTTCGAGCAAATAGGCGTTGGGCCATATTAGACACAGAACCTGCACACTGAACACTGAGAGCCAGCGAATCCTTAACAGCTAACTCATCAGACCGTTTGGAAAGTAGTCTGTTATCTTTGGGAGTGAGAAGGTTCCTGGCCACCACCGTAGCGGTCATATCATTCTTCATCACGGAATCCCCAACGGTAAGAGGACCAGTAGGGGAGACGAAGGATGGGCGCCATATGTTGTCTGGAGAAGGCGGGGCTGCCTCTTCAACAAGGTTCAAGTCAAAACGACGGTCGAAGGGGCCAGACATTTTTCAAAGGTGTTGAAGAGAGAAGAGGTCGGACAAATCAAGATCTTAGAAGTGCAAGAATGAAGCTTCTACTGGTGGAGATTCAAGTGTGCTTTGGAACTTAATGCCAGCCCCTATAAAAATCTGCACTCGACGAAAGCTTCAGAAATCGAAGAGGCGTTTGCTTTCTCAAAAAGCTGGGCTGCTTAGAGATCACGAGGGGGTTGATCTCAGAAATCGAAGAGGCGTTTGCTTTCTCAAAAGTTGGGCTGCTCAAAGACCACGAAGGCCGATCTCAAAAATCGAAGATGCGCTCGCTTTCTCAAAAGCTGGGGCTCCCCAGAGACCACGAGGGCCGATCTCAGAAATCGAAGAGGCACCTACTTTTCCAGCCTTTTCCAGCCTTGTCAGCACCTGTAACACGCACACTCAGTTTTGCGGAAATTATAGGCATTCTGTCAAAGACTTCTGGGGAAGTAGAAAAACACATGAATCTTACTGTTCAATCACCCACTTCCCACACGCAACAATAGCTCATGGGTACCACAGATAACTTTGCCAAAGTTCTCTGCCAAAGTTGAGCACGTGAAGCTTGCAGCTCCCACTACATCGCTCTGACCAAGAAGGGTAAAAGAATAGCAAAGAAACAGCACTAACAAAGTTTAGACCCATAAATTTTGAAGGTCTAGCTACCATATTATTACCCACAAGGGTAAAGGAACAGTACCACTGCTGGATAATTGGAAAGTCCCTGTGTGTCAACCTCTGTGCTTCGTGGCAAGGTAGACTAGCAAACATGCCCAACCTTTACTCCACATTCGAGAAAACACTCCCAATAAGATTGCTTGCTCCAAAAATCGAAGAGGCACCGTCCTCCGAATCTCGAGAGCTAGACTCCCAACATGACTACTTTCTTAAAAAATCGAAGAGAGGGTAAAGGAACAGTACCATTGCTGGATAATTGGAAAGTCCCTGTGTGTGTCAACCTTTTGTGCTTCGTGGCAAGGTAGACTAGCAAACATGCCCCAACCTTTACTCACATTCGAGAAAACACTCCCAACAAGATTGCTTGCTCCAAAATCGAAGAGGCACCGGCCTCCAAATCTCGAGAGCCAGACTTCCAACATGATTACTTTCTCAAAAATCGAAGAGACACTGCTCCCCGAATCTCGAGAGCCAGACCCCCAGCATGATTGCTTTCTCAAAAATCGATGAGGCATCGTTCTCCGAATCAATCGAAGAGGCGCTCGCTTTCTCAAAAGCTGGGCTGCTCAGAGACCACGAGGGCTGATCTCAGAAATCGAAGAGGCACCTACTTTTCTAGCCTTGTCAGCACCTGTCACACGCACACTCAGCTTTGCAGAAATTATGGGCATTCTGTCGAAGACTTCTGGTGAAGTAGAAAGCACATGAATCTTACTGTTCAATCACCCACTTCCCACACGCAACAATAGCTCATGGGTACCACAAATAACTTTGCCAAAGTTCTCTGCCAAAGTTGAGCACGTGAAGCTTGCAGCTCCCACTACATCGCTCTGACCAAGAAAGGTAAAAGAATAGCAAAGAAACAGCACTAACAAAAGTTTAGACACATAAATTTTGAAGGTCTAGCTACCATATTATTACCCACAACTGTAAAGGAACAGTACCACTGCTGGATAATTGGAAAGTCCCTGTGTGTCAACCTCTGTGCTTCGTGGCAAGGTAGACTAGCAAACATGCCCAACCTTTACTCACATTCGAGAAAAACACTCCCAATAAGATTGCTTGCTCCAAAATCGAAGAGGGCACCGTCCTCCGAATCTCGAGAGCCAGACTCCCAACATGACTACTTTCTCAAAATCGAAGAGAGGGTAAAGGAACAGTACCATTGCTGGATAATTGGAAAGTCCCTGTGTGTCAACCTTTGTGCTTCGTGGCAAGGTAGACTAGCAAACATGCCCAACCTTTACTCACATTCGAGACAACACTCCCAACAAGATTGCTTGCTCCAAAATCGAAGAGGCACCGCCCTCCGAATCTCGAGAGCCAGACTCCCAACATGATTACTTCCTCAAAAATCAAAGAGACACTGCTCTCCGAATCTCGAGAGTCATACCCCCAGCATGATTGCTTTCTCAAAAATCGAAGAGGCATCGTTCTTCGAATCTCGAGAGCCAAATACCACAAACCACTTTTTCAAAGTGCTCTGACAGAGTTAAAACATGTGAAATTGGCAGCTCCCACTACCATGCTATGACCAAGCAGGGTAAAGGAATAGCATTACTACTTGTTGTTAGGGAGACTCCTATATATGTCGACCTCCATCCCCAACGGACAGGCAGACCTGCAAAAATGCTCAACCCTTCATCATATCTGATAGGGCACTCCCAACGAAGCCTTTCGAAATATTCAGCTTTCTTTCCCCCCGATAATACCTCTGCAAACAAGCTATACTAGAGCAAGAATATCTCATATCATTAGGGTTAAAAGCAAGAGTATCCCATATCATGCTTTTTCCCTATCTTTTCTTTTGGCCTTGTTTTTACCTGCAAGACAAGGAGAAAGAGAGCAATCAGTCAGCACTTGGAATCAAGCTTCCAGCCAGGAACTGACTGCCTGGAACCCCTTACCTGATTACTTACCTGGCATTGCTCTCGAGTACTCATCTTCAACATCTTATGTTTCCAGGGAAGATTCTGCATCTGCTTGAGGAACAGATAGGGCAAGTGCGAAGGATACAAGGAAGCATGTGGAGACAAGCGTAACAGCACACGTGCCGATACATTCATTACTCTGTCAAAAGCAAAAGTATCCATATCAGCAGGGTGGAACGTACTCTAGATTTGGTGGACTTGTTTTGACCCTCAAATTCTTCAGTCGGCCTTATACTCTTGGAGGAAACCAGAAAACCCTCCAGCTCAGTTCAAGAATAAGCCTGTGGAAAGTTACTTCTTCAAAAGCAAAAGTATCTCATATCATCTCTTCTCATTTTTTCTTCTCTTTATCCTTCATGCTGCTGCAAGATGGGGAGAAGGTGAACAATCAGTCGGAGCTCTGATTGCTTACCTTGTCTGTCACCTCTTTTCAGCAGACCCCCTAGCTCGGCGACTTGGGGACTCCTACTACATGGTTTGTATCGCGCTTGACCAAGCCTGAAACTACAAGTAAGCTTCAAGTGAAATTGATACATTACCTTGTGCATCTCCACCAGTTAAAGATACCACCCCTGGATGGAGGAAGAGTACTTCCAGAGAAGATGCCACATCTACCTATGAGACAGATAAGGCAAGTCAAGACGACACCACACTCCGATACTTAGAAGTTTCGTGATTACGAGATCATTCTCCCACAATATTTCCTAATGTCATTTGTACTAAATCATTCACTTGTACTCACTAAATGAGAGCTTGAACCTATGTACTTGTGTAAAACCCTTCACAATTAATGAGAACTCTTCTATTCCGTGGACGTAGCCAATCTGGGTGAACCACGTACATCTTGTGTTTG